TATATATATATATTCGTAGAATCTGCCCGTTGCTTGATTTTGAATATGTCCGTTGACGCGGAGCTTCTCGTTGTATATGTCTGTTGAAGCTGATATAGTCGTTCACGACTAGTTTGATCCTTTCATTTAATGCATTTAGCCTTGCATTAAATGTTGCTTCTTGTTCTTAGACATTGCGTGTGTTCTTATTTATCCTTTTGTAGCAGTGTTTGACTTTATTTGAGACCAAGAAATTATTTTTCTTTTTCTGGTCATGCAACAATATAGCCGTTGTCCTTTTCTAAAAAAGTAATGCACTTTTTCTGACACATGCATGTTCTGCTTTTGCATGCTTCCCTTCTTATTTGTTTCTTCACTTAGATCACGCATTTTACATTGAAAGCTTTTGTCTGGTCATAGACGATGTCTTGGATTGTTTCTTGAGACTTGATTCTTTATTTGCTTGCGTGCTAGTCTTCGTCTTCATCTGTTGGTCCTGTGTATTTTAATCTTTGGCTTTTGCTTCAGCGTCTGAGTTTTTTTTTTTACTTTTCTTTGATATGATTAACAATGTAAATAGACAAACATTGTTTCCATCTGGAGTGTCTCTCAGTTTGTGTTGTTTTTCGTCTGATGCATACTTGGCTTTCTTTTTAACCTTAGACATATGCCGTGTCTGATTTGTGCTTTGGGATAGTTGTACTAGACATATTTTTGTCTGAGTATTTTATGATCGACTGTGCATATATGTGTTCCAACTATTCTTCTCTTGATGCTCGATTTCCTACATTACTTGCTTCATCTGTCTCAACTTGTCTGGTGCGTGTCTTGCCTTGACTATTCCTCATAGGCTTCGTCTGATGTTTCAGTGTCTCATTTTGGTGGTAATCCTCTTCCTGTGTGAGCAAACTTCGTCTTTATTCTTGACTAGTCATCATTTGATTCTTTCATGTAGTTTGTACAATCTTCATGGATTGTTGCATTTAATGCCTTTGATTTTGCATTAAATATTTGCTTGCTGAATCTGCGCTTCATGAGATCTTTTGTACTATATGTTTGCTTTTCTGACTGGCATTAAGATATCTTTGTACTTTCCTGATATTATTGCTACAGAGGCGTTGTCCTTAGCTGACTAGTAGGTCTGACACACACAGCTTTGATCTGTGGATAAACGCTTCTTTTATTTTGATGATTTCATATGTTCTTCTGAGAGTGTGGATGCTAGGGAGTTTGTCGTATTGTGTTCTTCAGACATAGTCCAACATTCCTGATCTTCATCTATGTGTTCGAGTCTCTGTCTAGTTGGTTGTTGTAAGTACTTGACTCCGTCTAAGGTGCTCTTGCTAGGATTTGCCCATCTTCCAGGGTCTTGTATCATTTGAGTCTTCATCTGATGTATTCCCTTTGTTTGCTTAGCCTTTATCCAATGCTTGCCTCACATCTCCTTAATTCTCGTATGGATGTATATTCTCTATTTAGCAGTTTACATGTACTTGTATCTGAAACACTAACACACTTGTTAGTAATAACAATATGTATTAAATTTGTCCCATTCAAAATCTTACTGGGAATTGCTTTCGTCTTCGTCTGACTTAACAATCTTTCCCTTTTTGATGATGACAAATATAATTGATCAAATGGTTTTAGATACACTATATCAGAGATATTATAGTTTATTTAATTTCTCCCCCTTAGTTTATGCACTCCCCTTTACTAGATAGTTTCTTAGTCGAATCTGATAGGCTGATCAATTCTTTTTATTTCTCCCCCTTTGTAATCATCAAAAAGAAATATATACTAGAGTAGTTTTTCAAGCTTAGCCCGACTATGATATTTTGATTAGATGATAATTCAAAGAGTTTTTATTTTATGAGAGTATTCGATCTTCTCAAAATAATAAACATGCATGAACTATGTGTACTTAGTTAAACTAGATTAAGTTTGAATTTTCAGACGTTCATGAGAGGAAAAGAAAATTGTGTAATAAGAGTCTTATTATCATTTTTCTTATTTGTGATCATCAAGATGAATAATCAAACAATAGAAAAACAAATACAGTAAGTGAGATGCTTAATGATAATCCTATAGTCATGAGCTCAAGGAAAAACGTATTAATCTGAATTATAAATATGTGCTACATGAGAAGTTTGTATAATCAAACGGAAACTATTATGATTATTCTTATTATTCAATTTTTCTTACTGTGATTATTTAGACGGAATGGATAAGTTTTAAGAAGTAGTCTGATATCACGAGACTTATTATATCCAGCAAGAATAGTATTGAACAGATTATTCCATATGTCAATCAATAATTTTAGATAGGAAAAAGCATATACATTATTGACTTGACTTAGAAATACGTACACTATGAGAAATTTACACACAGAAGTTTTTACCGTGGTTATCCCTATTTTCCTATTTCTCCTACAGTGATCACAGAGACGGAGGTGGGTCTTTGAGAGGTTGTGACATCATCAAATTGAATAGACGATTCAACTTCCTGTCTTGTTCTATTTTGAACTTGTTCTATGTCCAATAATATCATACTCCCTTTCAAATTCAGATGCGGAAGGAAGGAGTTTAGAGTAGGTGGACAACATTGTATATATGTATTTATACACTGATTCTAATGACCACTATTGTGGGGTCAGATGCATAGAAAAGGTGAATAACATATGTTTTTAGAAATGAAGTTTTAAGAGTTTAGGGAGAATTCTTGGTAGAGGAAATGAAGGCTGATGTAGACAGACGACCAAGTTGGTCGTTTTGGCTTTGCCCCTCACGCTTCAATCTAATCAGTTCCTTCAACTCATCGTACTGTTTGACTCTACTGTAGATGAGCTTGTGGCTTTTGCCTCTCTTCTTCTTCGCAACTTCGAGTTCTTACTTTTTCGCCGATGCTCATTCCTCTTTTGCTTATTTAGCGCCACCTTTCGAGTTCTTATGCAAGCTATTCTTACCTTTCTCATTGTTTCTTGATTGCTTTATCTATATATTATCCATGTAATTTGTTTGGTTAATTAAAAGCACATTATGTAGGGTAGAATAATTGTAGCTTGCATAAACCATTTCAAAATCATCATCTCAAACTTAGTTAAAATCAATTGTCAATTTCTCATCCTTTAAACCACTACACTGGGAGGGGGGTGACATTAGCCCCTACCATTGTATCACTCAAATATTAAAAAAAGGAGGTAAAGCCCTTGCTCAAACCCTTTGCCTTTGTTCATTGTAGAACAAAATTATACATATCCTTCATGGTGCGAAAACCCACTCTCAACCTCCTAAATCTACACCCACTTCTTTTCCCATGGCTTCACCAATCCAACCGAATCCTAGCCACTTTGTCTTCGTTTACACTACACACATTTCACCCCCTCCCCAAAACTCACAATCCCAACCCTCTCTTCTTCAACGCTATCATCAAATCCTATTCTTTAAGCCCATTGTTCCACCCCTCATTCTCCCTCATGAAGGCTTGCCTATCCTTAATTCCCTCACGCCACTCCCTAACTCTGCCACCAACCTTCGCCATTATGCCTTCATATAGTGTGTCATTGAAAAAATGCAGAACCACAAAATGAAAGGAATAAGCATGTGGGTTAAAAAAATGGGAAATTCTTCTTGAATCCTATGTGTCATTTTTAATTGATGTGACCATTTTTTATTGGAAGGACATGAAGTGAGGCACCATTTACGAGACGTGTGATTTCAATCCAACAAAAACATAATGAAGCCTAATTAATAAAATTTAGGCTAAATTATATTTTTTTTCCTTATTTATATTATATTTAAGTAAAAATAAGGATTAAATGTGTAATTTAGTTTAATTATTATTAAATATTAATTATTATGTTATTTACTTAATATTAAGTTAGAATTAATATTACAATTTTAATAATTAATAGATGAAAATTTTAATAATTGAACTAAAATTATGAATTTTAAAAATTAGAGACTAAAATAACGGAATTGAAAATTGAGTACCAAAATCAAAGATTGAATATTATAAGAATCAAAAGTAAAATTTAGTTAAAAAAAAATCTTATTTTACATATAATGAAATGTAAAACATGATTTTTATATAAATATTATATATTAAATGTAAATGGTTATCTTATACGATAGTATTTTTAAAGACTATTATTTGATAAAAATAATTTTAGAAATTTCCTTTAACTTCTTATTTTATTCAAATTTTTTAAAAAAATATTTATTTATAAATTAAATTTTAATATTTTAAAATAAATTATTAATTATTAAAATAATCTTATACCGCGATAGAAATTAATTATCATAAATACAAAATATAAGTAATATATTTAAAAGTATCTATTTATATAAATTTTAAATATAATTTATATATTTAAATATATTATTTATTATAAATTTTAATTATATAATAAATATTTAGCCTATAAAATACATATATTAAATATCAGTTAAATATATTATTAAATGAGTATTTGATGAAATTTATTTTAAAAAAAACTAAATTTATTATTTTTATAAAACATTTAAAATAACCATCATTTCTCTAATAATAATATTACCAAATATATACTAAATTAATCGAGTGATTTTTACTTGACAAAAAGAAATTAAAAACAAGAGTCGTATAATATCACAAAATTTTACATGTAAGCAAAATTGATAAAAAAAAATTTGTCATTGATATTATCTTTGGCCTTAACAAATAAAAATTACATGCTTATGCAACTAGCAAGACCTGATTAAAAAAATAAAGAAAGAAAGAAAGAAAAACTAGTGAGACCTAATCGAAAACCAGACAGAATATTTTTTTGCTGCGAGTTAAAAGCGTTAGGGTGTGGTGTGTGATGACGATGAAACGCTGGTATTAGCCTCCATTCTCTCACTTTGGTAACAAAATCTCATTTCATTTCTCAATGATCTATCTATTAACGTCTTACTTTTTGTTTTGATCTTGAAATTGAAGCCCATTAGTTTCGTCTTCAATTTTTTATTTTTTATTTTTTATTTTTTCTGTTGGCATAATAACATATGGGATTTTCGTGTGATGGGTTTTGTTTTATTTTCTTTATTTTTTTTTTTGCAATTTTCCTAGTATTTTGGTTTATGAATGAACATCTGAAGCAGGTGTGTAGTGTTACTGAGACAATCGGGTTCTGTAAAATGTTTGATTAATGTATTTTGGATCAATTTTGTTCTGGGTTGATTTGTAGGTTGCGAGTTGAGTGTTTGGTGAAATGCCCAAATGAACTTTTTGATTCCCTTTGGCTAGCTTTCTTGGCTGGTCTTGTGAATGTCAGTTTCTCGTGGTCTTTATTTATTTGTTGAATTCTCCTGGTCTGTTTTTGTGGATGAGTCTGTCAAGAGTGCATGGCTTTGTTAACTTGTTAGATAGCTTTGTTTCTTCGATGGTTCATGGTGGTGGAATTGATGTGTAATGTTGTTGGCACCTTCTCATGTTTTAATGAGATTGATAACTATAGGAGGAAACTCTTTACGGGGATTTTGTTCTTAAAATTAGTACGAGAAATTTAGGATTAGACTTGTTTTCTGTTACTAGATTTTTGATCATAATCAACTTGGGTTCTTCCATGTTTACTTAATTTTACTTGGGTGCTGAGTAGGAGGCTGTGTTGCACTGCTACGGGTATGATATGGTACGATATTATAAATGTGACTATTTTTAAAAGTAAAGTAGGATTATGGGTATGGCGATATATATTATGTAAATACAATTATATTTATATTATGATTATAGATGGTATTTTTTATTGTTTTGTCATCATGATGTTATTGCTGTTTTTTTTTATCTCTTACAAAATTTACTGAAAAAGCGTAATTTTAGCTATACTTTCGAACAGAAATATTATATTCAAGTTATGATTCATTATTTAAAAAATAACACATACATAAGAGTTCTGAGGATAAGGTGGGTAAGTTCTAATGTGTAAGCACAGGCAGTCATATTATATGCGTAGTAATATCCAATACAGGTACAATATTGATACATTGCTAATGTTAAAGTATCCATGCATTAGAGGTTGGAGGCACTATATGTAGATGCTGGATTGCCTCATCATTAGATAGCCGTCTATAAACTAATTTCTTTCAAGGATACTATATGCAGACCCACTTGGTTTACTATACGTATTTTATCAGGAGAACCCTGTTTTTCGGCTCACTTTTGAACACCTAATCATGTTGCTGTTGCACTTATGGTTTTAGTAAAGTTAGCATGTTCTTCCAAGGTTTTCTAAATTGGTTTTAGCTTAATAATTTCTTGCAGCTAAATTTTTCATGTTTTAGAAAGAAGCAATTTATTGAGTATAGATTTACTTCTTGAAGCATAAGCATATGAATAATATATGAGAATCCCATTTCTCATGGCAATGGATTTAACTTTTTCCTAATGTTGATCTGCCCAGGAACTGAGAATATGGCTATGCATGATGTCTCATGTATTTTGTAATTTGTTTGAGGATTTTAAGCTTTAAAGTTAGACAGTTTTAAGTTTTCGGTGATTTTCTCTTTGTTAGTATTTTGACAATTGCTGTGAGTTAAGTGAATAAATCATGCTTTTTATCTTTATCTGACCTGCTTCTGTTGCCTGTATGAAGTCTATCTACGTCAGGTTATGGCATCAAATTTCATCCTTAATTATTTTAGTTCCCTTTAATTGTGCAGTTCAGTCTCTTTTAAGTTTAATAAATCTTTTTTTTTCCAGAAGACAAAAGCTTTATGGTTTGTTTGGGAATGGGATTTTTAAGGGAAAGAGGAAAGAGAAGGGTTGATAAATTTTTAAAGTTCTATAATATGTAATATTTAACAATAAATGAAAGATTGAGACATTAATTTTATGCTATTCTATCATCTTATTTCTGTTATTTAAAAAAATATTGAAATAGGGAATGTTTATTAAAAATAATAATGTTACCCTCCCTTCCCTTTCCCTCCAAAATGTACCCTTATAGTGTGTTTGGATGGAGAATTTAAATGGAGTAATTCATTTATTTGAAGAATTTCAAATTCTTTGAGGTGAAATACTTTGTTTGGATGAGGAATTTATAAGGAATTTGAAATTCAAGCATTTGTGAAATTCCTTGAAATAGTAGAATTTCAAATTCTCCCAAAAGAGTAAGAATTTGAAATTCCTCATATTTTTTTCTTCTTATTTCACTTATATATTTTATCTTATCTCTTATTTCTTCATGTTTTTAATTATTGAATATTCAAAAATATTTTTAAAATTATTAAATATTATCTAATATTAATTTTTAAAATTATTAAATATTTAAAAATTAGCAAATATTTGTTTTTATAAAATTTAATTTAAAAATCTCAACATATAAATATATTTTTAAAATCAATTTTATCATGATAGAATCAAATTATCATATCCAACCTAACAATTTAAAATTTGAGAAATTTGAATTGACTTATCCAAACAAAATATTTTAAGAATGATAGAAATTGAAATCAAAGTAATTCAAATACCAAGAATTTAAAATTCCTTGAATTTGTAAAATTC